CCCGCCTGCGTCGGCGGTCCCAGCCGCCGGCTGGCGGCGCGCTGCCACAGAAGAGAGCGCCTTGCGGGCCCTAGGCACGGGGGACGACGGCTCCCCCTCCGCGCCAGAGTCTGGACCGCTGCCTGGCATGGACCCCTCGGCCATCCCCATCCCGCTGCCGCCGCCGCCGCCACCGCCATCCTCGCTGCCGCGCGCCGCCCCGCCCTCGGACGCCCGCCGCTTCCGCTCCTCCTCCGCCGCCTCCTCCCGCTCCCGCCTCAGTCGCAGCTGCTCTGCCAGCCGCTTGCGCACCGCCTCGCCCGCCGCAGTCGCGGCGCCGGTGGGCGCCGCTGGTGGAGGCGGCGGCGCCGGAGCTGGGCCTGGCGCCGCGCCCCCCTCGCCTGTGTGCGGCGATTCGGTGGCGGTTGGAAGGGATCCGGTGCCCTGTGCCGCCGCTGTGCCCCCTTGGCGCGCGAGCTTCAAGCGCAGCTTGGATGGCAGCTTCACGGCCCCCTCCGGCTGCTGCTGCAGCGGCGCTGGCGCCAGCGGCCGCGGCCGCTGTTGCTGCTGTTGCTGATTGACGGCACCCGGTCTCCTCGGTGGGATGGCGCGAGGGTTGGGGCGCTTGCCCTCCTTTTGGCGGGCGAGCGAGGTGGCGCGCAAACTTGGGTGAGCTGGCAGCAGAAGCGCGACAGCACCAGCGGCACGACAGCATCAGCAGCGCAAGCAAGCTGCAGTGGGTGACAAGGCGGCGACAAAGCCCGGTGTCCGCAGCACAGCCTTGCCGCATATCTGGCACAAATGCATAAGGTCTCATGCACCTGCACATCCTTCACGAGCCTCAGCTTGGCCAGTAGCTGCTCCTCCCATTCGCTAAGCTCCCCCAGCTGGTCATTGCTCAGTACCAGGGGCGTGAGTGGACGTGACACTTTCTTGCGGGGTCCCATTACATCGAGCTCGCGCTGGCTGCCGCTGTCTGATCAGCGCGGGTGGATCGTGGGTGCAGTGATCAAATGTTTCACCGCGGTGAAAAATACCAAGCGCATGTTCACGCATGGTGTATTTGAATCTTCAAGCTACTTGTGCACCTATTCACCGTGGTAGATCACGGCTCGAATCGACTTTGACGAGCTTGACTGCCCACAAGGCGCCGGTCACTCGTAGTAACTCTTTCGAAGCTACACATTCAAAGAGATGTTGAACCTCAGACCCGCTGCCAGAGTCGCAGGAGGCTGAGGACACCTACCATCAGGGCGCCGACCGCTTGCCGCCATCACGCGCATCCAGCGGACCAAGTAGCAAGCATGATGAGCACGGGTGCCTTCATACCCTCCAGCGACGTGCTGGGGCGGTATGGACACTGGCGGGCACCTGACCCGCTGAAGGCCACGTAAGCCTTGCAGCTGGCACATGTTGTGTAGGC